GGCTGACCTCGGTGTGCCATCACAGCCTCACAGCCAGGCAACAAGGTAAGAGCTGCAGGTATAAGCCTGGCTGTAACTGCAGTATCTCCCCCCCCCCACCCTTTTTTTTCAAAAAAAAAAAAAAAAAAAGATGCAATTGAGACAGGCAAATTGAAAAATCAATTATCAAATATTAACAAATTGTTAGTCTAACTGTATTGGATAAGATACAGTCTCACTTTAAATGAGGTTACCTGTTTTACTGATGTTGTATAAAACTGGCTTATGATGTTCCTGAGGTGAAAATAACTAATCAAATTGACAAATACTGGACTTTTGCTGTGAGATTAATTCTGTGGTCTGCAAACCAGATATTGGTGATTCAAGGCTGTTACTCTATCAGAGAATTAAAAACAAAACAAAAAAGCACTAATTCTTTTTATTCAGTTTCATTGTTGGTTCCAGCCATTATGCCATGGCTGCTGCACTGATAATGCAAGATTTTTGGGTTCTTTGATATGCTGCGCTTCTCTCTAGCCTTATTCTGAGGTCCTCAAACAATCTCTGGTCATAAGAAGCACAGGGACAAAGTAACTGTGGTAACTGCTGGGATTCTGATGCTGCCAGAAATACTTCCCTTTGGCCTAGTTCGTCTGATTACAGTACTCTGGGGAAATGTCTGGCTGCCTGGAACAGCTGGAGTTATTGCTCTCACTATACTCTTGTCCTCCTTCAGTATGCTCTCTCTACTGGTGTATATGCGTATCTTTCTTCACGCTTGAGTAATTAATATGAGACTGCTGACTTGCCCCCTAAACCATGAAGAAGGTCGACCCACAGCCCAGTGGAGAGACCAGAGGTTTTATCTCTTGGTAATTTTCATCATATCCTCAAGACAGTTTTGTTGAGCCTTTTGGGGTTTGACTTCTCCTTTTCTGCCCTGCCCCTCCTTTTCCTTTGCCACTGTATTCGTTCCAGGTTACTTCAGGTAAGTTTTCACTGCACAATAACATTTTTTTGTAGGGACCTTGCTACCTCCAACATATAAGCATAGCTGTGTCAGCAGTTCTCGGTACCCAGGAGACCTGTTGGACTGTCTGGGTTAATTTGCTTGGGTGCAGTGGTGCACTACCTCAGTGAGTCTGCTCTTAGGACTTGGAATTAATGTGCCAGTGTGTTGCTGTTGCACCAGACGTAGTATCATATTATGCCATGTAGGCAGAGGCAAAGGTGATACAGGACAAGTACTAACCAAGCACTACTCTGGCAGTGGTGGTACCAACTGAGAAAAAGTATGCCTGAGGTTATTCCGGTGCCTTTTTCTGTAACAGGTGGGAAGGCAAGACAGTGTTTGCCCTCAGTGCTGCCACCCATGGTACAGACTGAGAAGGTTTAGCAGCTGCAAGGGTCTAGCTGTGAGGACTTACATGGCGGAATAGAGGGTATTAGGAATTTTACCGGAGAACTTAGGTGGAAAAGTACTTAGTGGTTATTGCACACAACTCCCCTCCCCGCCCCCCTTCTTACGGTTCTATAGATAAGCCTTCTACTCTTCTCTTCAAAACTAGAGGGGAAGGTGGGAGAAAGACTGGAAGGCTTTTTGAGGAAAAAGGGTAGAAGCATATTGGTATCTTTAGAGAGTAATCTGTCTGATAGAGGAGCAGCCCTTACTCAAATGGCTTGGTAATGTCTAATTTTATTCTTTAGACATTCAGGCTGTGTGCTTATTATTTGTTCTTGGCAATGCTTAAATTTTTGCTTTCAAAAGAATTCTAGTGGAGAGAAAAATACTAAGTATACATATCTACAAAACTGCTGTCTTTCTTAAGGTATGGAGATGATGCTGGACATGCTACAGACAACGCAATGAATTCTGCAATCAATGTTGGTGTGACAGTGTTTAACATTGACAATATTGGTATCAAAGCTGTTGTAAAGAGAACTGCGAAGGAAACCGGCCATGCTGTGTTAGATGAATATAAAGTATTGGATAATGAGAAGAAGGATAAAAAATGAAAGCAATGAAATATTTCTCAAAGCCTTACGTTAGAGATGAAACTTCCTGTTTAGAAGTAACTACATTGCTAATCTGCGATTTAACACAAATCACTGTACTTTTCAAGCAAATGTTACTTAATTTGACATGAAAATGTAAAAGCAGGGAGGGCATTTGTAGAAGGAAAAATGAAAGTTGTCTTAACTCCTTGTTCTGTATCGAACAAGGGTTTTAAACAACTGGATCAGGGCTTTAGACAACTGGAACAATGTTTGCAGTTAAACTTGCCTCTGTAAGCACTTTTTCCAAATATAATATGGAATAATAGATTAATATAGAAATACTATTGTGAATATTTTTGTAACGCTTTATATTTGTAAAGAAGGTGGTGATACAGAACAAATAAGATTACTAATTCTGGAACAAATAAGACTACTAGTTTTGGTTTTTAACTATCCTTAAGAGTTAGTTTTACTAAACCAGCTTTGTCTTATTTAATATGCACTAAGATATGCTTTGTGTTTCATTGTTTTGTAGAGAATTTCCCTTTTCAGCTACGAAACAGCTAATCTTATCCAAAGTTCATGTTAGAAGAAATGAAAGATGAACCTCAGGTAACTAGGTAGTTATTCCCTTTAAAACTATGTTTTCCATCCAGCACATAAGCAAACCAAAGATATCAAGCATTTCTTCTAAAAGAGGGTATTTACAAGTCTAGAGAAATGTATTCTCCAGTTGACTCCATAAGGAATATACAAAGATTCTTTGAAATTGAGATTTTTATGTAGAGAGGATAAGTATGTTTTTGCATAAACTAAAGTATTTTTCTGTAAGAACATTCTATCGAGGACACTAGGAACTTCTATGCATTCTGTACTTACCAGCCAATCCAGAAAGACTCACAGTATATATCATGGTCTCCTAATGGAAGACAATGTGTTTGCTTCAACAAGTAGTTCTAACAGTCAGCATCTTTATTCTATTAAATTCATAGTTGCACAAGGTCTGTCTTTAAAGGGTATGATGACAAGCCCTTTTAATGAAGAGATGTGTGTGGAATAGACACTACTGTGTAGGTTTTTCATCCTGTTCCTAGTGCAGTGTGAAATAACTCCATACGTAGAAACCTTAAGATGCTTTTACAACTGCTACTTATTTAACAGTTCATTATTGAGTTTTAAAGCTGCTACACATTCTAATATTGGCTGGACCTGCAGCAAACAGAACACCATCAATTTACAACTTATCTCCATTTCATGTAAATGGAGAGAATAACTATAAGTGGTTGTTAGAAAATGATTTGCATCAGATTGAAAAAATACAGTAACAGCTAATAGGTGCACATTTTGTGGTAGCTACTGTGGGTGTTTACTTGGGGTGAGAAATGTGAAACAAAGGATCTAACCACTTGAAGTGTAACTTTGATTTATGGAAATAAAGATGAAATTAAAATTGGTAAATCTGTGCTTGGCCTTTTTATGATGTGAAGCTACTGTATGGATCAATGAGCGAAAAGACTAGGACTTCTTCTGAAGTAATAAAACCAGTATTGGAGTATGTCTAAGATAGAAACAAGCTCATCAAGTAGAGCTTAAAATATTTCAAACTAAAAAGGTCCATCAAAAGTATGCTACAACAATTTCTGTTACTACAGTCTGTCACTTGCCAGCAAGAGTAACCAATTTAAGGCTACTAAAGACTTCACACTAGAAAAAGCATTTTTGTTGTTATGAACCGCATTTACAATAGGGATGCGTGTATTTGTATCTTCCTCCTCCCTCCCATTTTAGTTTTGCATATAGCTCATGCCCTTTAGTTTTATCTATAAACCATCAGAACAACAAGTTGTATTAAAACAACAGTTAAGATCAGAGTGTTACAGTCTTCAAGAGACCAAGTTGTAGCATACTGAGGAAAAAAAGATTTAAATGCCATCAGTGTCAGGCAAGCATTGTCCTGTTCAACTTGCTTTTGTTCTCTTCACATGTACTCAGTCTTTCAAGTTTGTGTCAAAGCAGATTAAAGCTAATTTTTCAGTAATACCTACCCCATTTTACAGTTTTTAATGTGATACATCCATGATCTTCCCTTTCACGTTGTCCCAAAGTTTAGTTAATTCTCACTGCTGAAAGTATTATGCTGTTGAACTTACCCTGCTTCAACTGTCACTACTTTGGCCCTGGGCAGCAAATCCATACGGTTTTCCCTAGCTCTTCTACCATATGCAACAGCCCTCACACGCTTACTGCCTTATCTCAGCTCTGCCTTTTATACAGTATACACACTAAACTCCCTAAGCCTCATACCTTGGGTTCATTTTCTATTCCCAGCTTGGTTTTGTTTTCCCTTTGAACACTGAATGTCTTCTGATGTATGGCAGTCCTAGAAGTAGTCTTACTAATGTTGTTTATGGAGTGAACTGCTGTTTACAGAGTGAACTGCTACCTGATTTCCTAATGCATTGCTATTTCCAAATTAATTTATTGCAAGTCTTTTCCACTACAATATTGGTCTCAAATCTCATCTTGAGAAGGTTACTTTTAATGACTTCTAAGTCATTCTAAGCTACGGCTGTCTCTGGCATCATCATCATTCTGTAGGTATAAACCACTGTTCTTACCTCAAGTCTAAACCCCTGTATTTGAATGGATTCCTCTAGATTCCAATTTGTTTAACACTGATTTAAAAACACTTTGGGATAGCCTATTTCTTAATATTCCTTGACAAACTAAATCTGTAATCCTTTAATAAGAATTGGTGAAACTATCTTCCAGTAAAACTACCTTCCATCAAAGCATGCTGACCAGCTCAGTTATTCAGATGACCACAGAATGGTGTAGGTTGGAAGGGACGTCCAGATGTCCCAGACTACAGAGATCTGTAGTCCGCCCTCAAAACAGGTCCAGCTGGAGCAGAGTACTCTGTGCCAATTCTGCTCATGTTTTGATAATCTCCAAGGACGGAGACTTTGCAGCCTCTCTGGGCACCCTTTGTCAGGTCTGACTCTGGGAGAGGTAAATATTTCTCCCTTACATTGGGCCAAAATTTTTCATAAGCACTTGGGTGCATTGCTGCTTATCCTTCCATAGTGCACACTGGAGAAGAGTCTGGCTTCTCCATCTTCTCTACACCCTCCTCTTATGTAGCTGTTGACAGCACTAAGATCTCTTTATGCCTTCTCTTCTCCACTCTGAACGTAGGCCACGTGTGCCAGCCCCTGACCAGCTTGGCAGCCCTTAGGATTTGTTTGGGAGCCCGCAGCTAAGCACTCCAGCGTGTGGTCCCACAGGTGCTGAACGGAGGGGGAAGAATCGCCTCCCTCAGCCTCCTGGCTACTCCCTCGCTAATGCAGCCCCGGAGTCTTTCGGCCGCCTTTGCTGCAAGGTGCGTTGCTGGCTCGTGGTCAGCTTGTTCACTACGGACCCCCGTGTCTTTTCATGTGAAGCTGCTTTCTAGTTACCACCCCCAGCCTGTACTGGGCTTCTCCCATTCCAAATGTCAGACTTTGCATTTGCTTTTTGTTGAATTTTGTTGGGTTCCTTTCAGCAGCCTGTTTCTCCAGGCTGTACGCCCCGCTCTGACTGGCAGCCGTGCCCTCCTGCATAGTGACTGCTCCCCTCAATTCATCATCATCGGCAAAGTTGCTGAGAGTGTGCCGAGTCCTCCAGGTTGTTAATAAAGAATTCAGGGTATTGGCTCAGGTATTGATCCCAGAGTCAAGCAGTCATACTGCTGATCACCACACTTTAAGCCTGATGGCCCAGACAATTTCCCACCAACCTTATTTCCCAGTTATTCAATCTATAACTCACCAATTTGGCTATAAAGGTGCTATGGGAGACTGTATCAAAGTCCTTGGTAAAGTCAAAATATACAACATCCATCAGTTACCCCTTGTCCACACAGCCAGTCATCGTACCCTAGTTACCGGTGCTACAGAAATAGCTACTTCTTTGTAAAAATTAATTTATGTCATAATCCAAATGTTTGTCTTCAGCAACTGGTCTACCTTGCTTTTAAGCAACTCTAGCTGTTTATTGCCTTCACATAATCCAAAGATATGTATTTAAGTATAAAATTCTGTTTTCCAACCACATTGTGTTGTGACCAAGTTTCTTAACTTTTCTTACTAGAAGTTTTAATCTCAAAAAGAACATCAAAAGCCTTAAAACAATGGAAGTACCTTTATAGGTATCCATATATCTAATTTTAACCGATTTATTCAGAATGAAGAAATGGATGAAAATTCTCACGTGTTGCAAGTGTCACTATGTTACTGCCGTGATTGTTAAAAATACTGATGAAGTTTTACCCACTCACACAAGACCTCAGTCCACTTCTGCTCTTCTCCCACACCAGTTCCCAAACCATCTGGTGAAGCACACAGTCAGACCTGCTGTCCTGTGCCAACCCAACCAGCGTGGTCTGGGCTCATCCTTACGTGCACTGTGACCTAGTTCCTGAGAGCTCACCTAGCTAGGACACTTAGTAATCCCCGACTTGAGGCTGGGACGTGAACGTATCCTGGAGAGGAGATTAAAGAAAAGCCTCCTGGGGCAGAGAGAGTACACTGTGGCTGGGATACAGCCCTCAGTTACCCTGTGCTCTCTGTTCTCAGACTTCCTTGTGATTCCAGGGATCTTTCTGAGCTCTCTGAGTGCGCCCTCCAGTTTGAGAACTACTCAGCAGGCCGGTTAAGTTAATCTTGAAGCAATTCCTCACAAAAACTGGTAACAGGAAAAATGGTTACTGGTTAACACCCTAGCTGTTAAGCTTCAGCACACTGAGTTAGTTATGGATGCTAGCCTAGGTCCAAGCCATTACTTAAATTATTGGTTTGATGTGGAATGTGTTTTCAACATGTATCTTAAAAAGGTAGCATTCAGTGAATCCTGAAGGCAAAATGAGCAGCTCAATTTAAATGCAGTTACAGTGCAGCACTCTTCTAAATTCGTTTCTTGATTAATGTATTTCAGCCAACTTTGAATTTAATCCACACCTCAAGTGATAATTCACTGAT